CCCCTGAGTTGAAAGCCTGCTAGGAACCTGTATGGAATACATTTTTAAATATTCAGAATAAGAACCACAAAACTCAGTATCTTATATTTAAATGCTCCTTAAATTATTGGAATCCAAGTCTCACTCACTAGGATACATTTTTATAAAATGTTTCTCTGTATCTTGAATTGAAATTACTTGCCCAGAGGCAAGAGTTCTTGGGATAATGTGTTTTGAGAAATTTTTTTAAAAGGGGATAAGAAAGCAACAAGTTTATACTTTATGGTTTTGATATTAGTTAGTATTTTAAAATTCATTAGTAGTTCCCAAACCTGACTGTTCAATTAGAATTACTTTGGAAATAGATTCCTGAGGCCTAACCCCTGCAAAATTGTCTCATTGGGTCTATAGTGGGGCCTGAGAGTTCTGTATTTCTTTTTTTAAGCCCTCCAAGTGATTCTAATAACCAGGTTTGGGAAATCACTGTTTTAAATGTGACAGTGGTTTGAGAGTAGGCAACAAAATAAAAGTTTACCGGACATCTTTGTGGTAGTTTTTCTTTTTTATTTTAAACTGGGACCAGATTTCACAGAACTTATTCAAGATACATGGAGGAATAATAAAGAAGGTGGAAGCTACTGCTCATTATTCTTTCATACTTTTAAGAGTTTGCATACCTAGCACTTGGAATAGTTGATCATATACACAGCTGAAGGACATATCCCTGAATGAGACCATTATATATAAATTGTAAAATATTTCACTATTTTTTTATTTTATAAATCTTTGTAGAAATAAGCAATGAAATACTACTTTCATCTTTTGAAATGGGATTTTTCAAGGCATTGTCCTTTCGGCATTAAGGTAGGGGGAAGTTAATATTCTCTCTGCTTTTTTCCATGTGAATCAATATGAAGTCATGGACATTTAAAAATCTCAGTTCAATTTCTACATACTTACTATGCAGTATAGCCATGAACAAGCAATGTAGATTTAGTTTTCTCATCTTCAAATGCCCTGGTCACCCTACCTCACAGGGTTGTTGTGGGGATAAAATAAAACTTTTATGGAAATACTTTTTTTTGATGATATTTTATCAGCCATTAGAAACACTAATATCCAAGAACTTATTTGCACAGTGCTCTTTTGGTTTACAAGTACACAATTTTTTCATATTCTTTCCCTTTTGATGCTCTACAGGACAGACCTGTAAGGAATATAGAGCAGGTTAGAGAATCGGTAACTGAGGCTCACAGGATTGTGACCCAAGACCTCATAACTGTTATGGGAGATTGAATTCAAGTATCACTGCAATATGCTAGCTCCCTAGGCCTTGGCATTCTTGTATAAGCATGTCACATAAATACAAAGTGTTCTCAAGTTTATAAATCAATTTATCCAACAAAGTTCTTATAAAGGAAGGTAATTCAATGTAAAAGTTGTTACAAACTAACTAGAATGAAATTCCAACTTTCTAACATGCCTCTTTTATCCTATCTTTACAAGAGAGGATATGCAGATTGACTATCATATCATAACAAGATGGCTGCACCCACAGCGGAGGCAGGAATTCCGTAACACAAGATGGATGTGCCCACAGTGGAGGCCGAGTTACCGTAAAGAGCAATCAGCAGGGACCTGACGCTGCGCCCCCCACCCAGTGGGGCTTGACAGGGGTGGGGCCAGCCAGGTCTGGGTCTCGGGCAATTTTGAGGCACACATGGGTGGGTGTGCGGAGACAACTCTGGTTCCCACAGTGTGCCCCAGACTCTGACAGGAGGAAGATTTATCTCTTGACACAGGAAAAAGGCAAATGGCAATATTAAAATATTTACTCTAATTCCCTTTTGTGCACAAATTTTGTGCACTGGGTCACTAGTTTTACACATAAGGAAATATGTCCAGAAGAGTGTCTAGGATCACAGAGTTGGGATTAGAATCTAGGTCTCAACTGCTACTACTTAATGGAATGGCATTCTTAATTTCTTGTACTGCCCCTAACTTGGGGGCAGAAATGGGCACTTGAATCAGTATTGCCACATGTCAGGGAGAAAGAAAAGACATGAGCAGTAGAGAGCATTCAATGAAGACTGGATAATGATAATGGAGAGGTCACCTATAACAATATGTTTTTATGAAAACATGCTGTGTGTTCAGGAAGAAGTGGGTGATGAGGAAATTGAAGAGTGAGTATTGACTGGCTTGAGAAGTCTGGTAAGTAATTGGGGTAGCAGGCTTATATGATTTGCTAAGTTAGAAGTCAATGGATGAACCAAATAGAGCTTTAGATTTGAAGTATGACAATATTTATTGAGGGTAGGTATAAGTAGCTTTCCTAATCAGAGTAAAAATCATTTTAAAACACTGCCTTACTATGTGTTAGACACTGCAAATGGCAGAAAAAGCAAACCTGACACTGCCCTCAAGCTTACGTCTAGCAGTGGAGAGTGGGTGTTGTGGGGGAAAGGGTCATGAAAGAAAAATAGCTTTGAGGGGCTAACATTCTAGTCTGGAAGTCAGGCTTGGGTTGGCTGAAGTATTAAGATGAGAACTGTAAAGGGGATATATAATACTTTTAACAATATTTTAAAAAAGAACTGTAGTCCTGGCTGGTGTGCTCAGTGATTAGAGTTGGCCCATGCACCGAAGGTCATGGGTTCAAATTCTGGTCAAGGGCATGTATCTGGGTTGCACGTTTTATCCTAGGTCCTGATTGGGGCATTTGGTAGGTAACCAATCCATGTGTCTCACATGGGTCTTTCCCTCTCCCTCCCTTTCACTCTCTAAAAAAATTGAAAAAATATCGTCTGGTGAAGATTAACAGCAAAAGATGAGAACTGTAGAATATTGAAAAATATGTAAAACCAGGTTTGGTTGAGGGGCAAGAGGTAAAATCAAGCAAGAGAATTAATGATCAGATTTGTCTTAAAAGACCACTTTGGCTGCTGCCAGGGCAGTGGTCAGCAAACTCAGTCAACAGAGCCAAATATCAACAGTACAACGATTGAGATTTCTTTTGAGAGCCATTTTTTTTAAACTTAAACTATATAGGTAGGTACATTGTTATTAACTTAATTAGGGTACTCCTAAGGCTTAGGAAGAGCCACACTCAAGGGGCCAAAGAGCCGCAGTTTGCCGACCATGGGCCTAGGCAATAGAGTAGATGGATAGGAGGCCAGTTAAAAGATGTAGCAGTTGACCTAATTCACACAAATGCATTCCTTTTTCCAAGACAACAAAAGGCTAATGCATTGGGTGCTAGCATCATAATGGACAATTTGAGGTCAGGAGAAGGTTGAAGTCCTAAGGAGAGCATGGCTTGTCTGGTGACTGGCAGGAATAGGAAGGTACTTTGGGATTTTATGGCACTGTATAAAAATAAGTATGGAATAATGTATAGGAGTTTAATGGACACACATGCTGGCATTTTATATCTTGAAAGATTCTTGGGTAAGCTTTTGGGGGAAGGTGGTTTAAAATGGAAAAAGTCATTCAATTCCAAATAAT